TGTGGTGGTCGTGTCACTGATCTTTATGCTGCAGACCCTGCATACCGCTGTTCTCTTCTTATTACCGTCATCGACAACATAATCCTTGAATCCAAACTTCACTATTTTTGGAGTAAAGCTAGCCGCTGCCATGTTAACTGAGACTCCTGCCTTCTAGTGGGTTGCCAGGTTTGCGCGCATGGCGCTATAATCACGTTTTTCGAGAAAAAAACATTCCCCATTACATTCCCCTGATAGGTGGAGAGTTGCCCATATAGGCGGAGCACCCCTTTTCTGACGTCAGAAAAATTCAAATCTGTATCAGTCTGTATCAGCCCCGTTCTTAGAGATTTGGGTATGGAAGAAAAGAGAGAGGGTTGTGTTTTCTGACACTTGGTGAGTTCCCTGACACACCGGGGACACATATTCAGGTATAAAAGACGTACAAAAGTGCATTTTGCATGATAGGTCCCCTTTAAGCAATGTTGTTACAAATCATCATGAAGGAGTAATACATTACAACCTAATTGAATGGAAAGCAGGTTGAGATCTGGTGGACCTCTACCGACCAATTGAGCAATGAATGGCTGAAATAAATCTATTGTAACCACAGGCTTGTTTCTTCCTAGAAACATTTAACAGCAACCGTCGCAACCTTTGAAAGCTACAGGGGGTGAAATTACCAGCATCATTTCTGTTCATTTACTCCACACCCGCTCAGATACTGCTTAGATATTATGTTTTCTGACAACGCAACCCTAACTTAAAATTCTACATGCAATAATTGTGAGGCTCAATTTGATCCCCATGCAACTCATTATTCCATTTTCGCTCAGTTCCAACTTCCAACTGTAATCCTCACAGATTCACAGCTTTTAGCCTTTAACTACAACACAGAACACACTTGCTATCACACTGCCTACACTTCCCTGTCACAATGAGTAATTATATTGTATTGACATCAGCTTATGTGTGGGGGGGGTTCATGTGTGTCCAATGTCCATGCGTGTGTATGTGCGAGTGTGGGTATACAACAGTTAGCCCCTAAACAATTATTTAATCCGGTTAAGGGGATTTTCAATTAATCCAGGAGGGCCCTACATTTTGACAGTGCGATATTTTTAGCACATTTTCCTTCTGATGCAACAGAATTTATTTTCCTCTGCAGTTTTAAACCCAATATGATTCAGTGCTCTCACAGGATGGACGGCAAATTTGTTTTCGCGTCAGTGCATGTTCTGAAAGCAAGCATTTATAGTTGTGGTTATGCTGATTATGAGTCATAATAACTCTGAAGAAGAATAATATATATTGTAAATAATTGTATACGGTCATTATGAGTAGTTCTGTTATAATAGTGAATGATGTAGTCCTTTCTGGAACAGTAAGGAAACCAGGAGTGATCAGACTGTGGCAGCATTACATTGTGTCTGTGGGTTTTAAGTTTATAATGATCATAGGAAAACTAACATGAAATTGGTTTTATCACGATATATTATTCACTCACTATCAAAAAGAAAGTATAACTAATTTCTCAGAAAAGGTCAGAAATGTGATAACATGCTGGCATGGCCTCTCTGATATACATCTAATCTGCTTAAATGACTGCAGGCATGACGCTGCACAGGCCAGATCAGTGGGTGGACGCACTAAGGAGGTTAGGACAGGAAGTAAGAGGGAGGGTGGGAACGATAGAGAGACGACAGAGAGGACAAATGTATTAGCAGAGTCGAGAGAAGGGAAAGACGTGGAAGTTATGGGGTACAAAGCGAGATAATTGAGAAGTGAGAGACGGAAAAGAGCAGAGATAAATGTAAAAACAAAGAGGCTCACAGATGGGATGCTGCTACAACTTGCAATTTGAGGATCCCGCGAACAAAGCAAACACTACAACTAGCACGCTAATCTGCTAGCACGTTTTCACTGCTTGCTGAATGAACTATTAGGCTGTTATCTAATAGAATACAGTGACTTGGGTATGGTTATTATTATTTTCAAAAAAGGTGCAATCGACACATTTTAGCACAAACAAAGGATCTAACTGATCTGTCACCCTGCAGGGCATAGCAGCCCTTTGAGATTCTCTCTTAACGGGAAAATCTACAAACCTTGACCCATTGGTTTCATCGCTTTGTTCACGTTACGCACAGTAGCCTAAGTGATACAGTAAGAAAAAACCTTAAATATATTTTATTTTCTGACCGATTTTCTAAAGGGTAAAGCTAATTGTAGATGTGTAATGTAGTTGTATAGAGACAACTCACGCCATCTGATAACACTGTTTAAAATCAACTTAATTAAGAAAAGAATAGAAAACTCAGCTTAAACACACCCCGTCTAATACCAGTTGTTAAAACAGCCCTGTGAGTCAAAACAATGTGAATCTTCTGAATATCCTGTGGGCGGTGGAGGAATTATTCCAGCTGATTTGTGTTACATTACACTAGACTACTATTAACCCCGGTTTTTCGGTGCGTCCTTGATTAGAGGGAGTTACAAATTAGATTACTGGGTCAGCTGAGACAACCCGGCTATTAGGGATTATTGATTAGTTGTTGTTCTTGTCGCAGTTGGACAGCCCATATCATCATGAGGACTATCATCTGAGTGGGCCAGCTGCTAGCAGTACACAAACGTTGCCATGGGGATGGTGTCCAGGGAGACAGCTGTGGCCTTTTAGCAGCAGCCGCACAACACACAGAAGGTCATTCTTCACCTAAGGTACTCTTCGCCGACTGTCCGTCACAGATTGTTTCCAGGCAACCGGTCTAAGGCTTTTTGTTTGTTTGTTTTTCTAGGAAGCCGTCCACCCTCTCAGTATTTTTTCTTGCCATTTCGAGAGCAAAACAACAAGTGAATTGGAAAAACACACAGAGACAAGAGAATCTAGCCCCATGCAATTCATTCGCAATGATACAACAAGGATTACATGATAGAGCACTGAGTGGTAGATTTTAGGCATTTACTATTGCCTACAGCAAAACCAAGCACAAGTACAGAGGAACAACATGAAAAAGGAGATAGTTTCATTGATCTGGGTGTGGAAACTTCACTGACATTTCAGCACCTCTTGTTAGTGACATGGTGAACAGACGTCTATTTACACATCCAACATACGGAGCAAGATAACCATTCATTTTATGTCTCTAATGGCCACCTGGTGAAAAAACCCTGATTATAACTGCTTTTATACAAGTAATGTTTGAAGATGTTATTTAAAAAAACTGAGGATAGCCATAGCATGCTGCTGATAAGTGATGTGATGTGTTTTATAATGAAAACGCATATATTGTGCAGTCAGCGCCTGGAAGCCTTCCATTAAAACCATAACTAAATAGCTGGCTAATCAGCCATCTGGTGTGTGTGTTTTAACAGAATCTCTCTTAATCTTATATCTTCCTTCTAATGAGTGTTTTATTCCAGGTTTTACAAAGCTTCTTTTGAACACTACATTCAGCCAGGCTGTACATTTGATAAGCATCAAGAGCTGTTTATAATTACAGATTTATTTTTACAACATTTTCCTTTACCTAATTAAACTGAACGGAAAAAACTAATTTAGCAGTTAAGTCAAAATGTATAGATGCGATTCAGGGACATGTGCTTCGTTTCTTTCAATAGGTGTATGGATGGAGTATATCTGCATGAGCAAGCCCACTCTCATGACTGAGCTTCTCTGAGTCTAACTGAGCCATAGCTGAGTCTGTCTTTGCATGAATGACCATAATGCAGTCTGTGATAGTGTGGCTGTCAGCAGTGACAGCAGAAAGACTGCAAGGCATCCAGCTGGACCATCTCCAACAGTATATCCTCGTATACGAAAAACACACAAACACGCACACACACACACATACATAATTACATAACATTATTGAGTTATGTTGCTGACTACAGCATGTTAGCTTTGGTGACAGACGAGCTTTGTGCCAAGGATCTTGGCTGTGAAGATGGACAAAATAACCCACTGTGCAGGTTGTCATAAATTCCTCCATAAACAGAAAGGTGTTAACGTTATCAGATAAAAAGAGAGAAAATTCTAATGTAAAACATTGTACTGTGTTTTAAGCGATTTCATGTCATGTAGTGAAAGGAGAGTGCCCAGTGGTTACTGGGAAAGATTTTTACATAATGTTGTTTCTATATGGCTTATTCATTTTTGCGTAGTTATCATATATTGACTTATGGAGGCAAAATAATGATAAATAACTTTATCAAATAATTGTTTCGGTCCATACTGGTTTCTCAGATATGAACTCAGGTATGCTTCTATACCAAATGAATGAGCAAAAGGCGACTGCACTCATTCACAGACCAAATGACTGACTGTTTAAGCCTGAGAGCTACACTGAACTAAAAAACTGTCTTTAAACCGTTTGAAAATGCCGACTGCTATAGCGTGCAGGTTTTCTCTTTACTAAAACTAATGTCAAGCCATAGAGGATTATAACAGAAGCAGCCATTATGTTATGTCAGTTCCCCTTTGCCAGTCTGTCCACACTCCTGCAAATGGGCGTGTTGCCAAGACAACGACTCGCACACCTTGCCATCGGAGACCACCTGGGGGAGGCCTCCAAAGGACTAACCACACAAATGCATGCATGAACATACATAGTGCAAGGAAAACACACATGGCCCCACACACGCACACAACACTCCCATGCACTAAACACACCTAAGCATTTTACACCACATTACACATGTCTGCATAACAAAGACCAATCAGAGGGAGTATATGTACACAGGGCCATGCGAGTCACACCGCTACCTCTGCGTCCTTGAAGAATAAAAGCTGCAACAAGGACTTGAAAAGTGAATCACTGAACTCCTTACATACATACTGTCACGATAATCACGTCTCAATGTTTTCAATTCAAAAGGAGATTTATATGTACAGTATATACCCATGTGCAGGCAAAAATACATGTCATTTAAAATGGTTATAGTAAAAGAGGGTGAGAGACTAGATTGTGTTCTTCAGAGAAAAAAAGATAAAAGTGTGGTGGTGGGAGTGGAAAGTTTACCAGTTTCCTATACTGCTGTTTCTCTTGGCGTAGCGTGGCAACCTCAAGCCTGAGAGCTCTGTTTCTCTCCTCCAGCAGTCGAAAACGGCTCACATTGTGGACCAAGTGTCCCGTAGCTTGCAGGGAGGAAACTTCATATCTACTCTGCAAGAAAAAAAGATGATAAATTACTGATATTTGAATTTTTGGGTATAATACTGTTCTAAGCATTAAGCTTAGCTCTGCTGTGCCTTAAAACATCATACAACCATGCGTAATGACAATTCATACATGCTGATGCTAAACTTAGCACTTATCATACTCACTATGGTAGATTTGCAGGTAAGCATTATACATTTGCCAAAAAGCATAACATCAAATAACTGCTGGGTTTAAAAAACAAAAACGATAATTAAATGTATAATTCATTTTTCATTCATCCTTAGTGAAACAAAAGTAAGACCAGTTTTTATGGAAAACAATTTCATTCAAACCCATAAATGTGAACCTACATTTTAAAACTAGGGGATTATACATAATTTATAGGGCAACCTCTCAATAACATGTGGCTATATTTGACTGGATAAATAAAAAACTAGCTTGTGGAAAAAGCCACAGGCTATCTAAAATACTTAGTATCACTTATCAGGGCTCCGTATATATCTGTACCAAAATCACTAAGCAATCCATCCAATAGATGTTGAGGTAATTTAGTCCACACCAAAGATGGTTCAGAAGACGAACACACAGTCAACAATGTAACATCAGGAGCAAAGGAGCACACGATTAATACAAGTTATGAAAGAGGACATAGGTTGGCTGTCAATCTTGCTTACAGTGATGTGCTCGGGCTTTAGTTCCATCCCGTGGGGTCAGTCACAGGAAAAGGATTACCAAGCCTGAAAATGAAGCTGCTACTGCAACAGGTTTTGAGGCTCAGCAGGATTTGCCAGTCAGTGTTTTTCTCCTTAGAAGTTTTCTTGATGGGTTAGAATGGCCTTTGAAAGTGAATTTTCACTCTGACGCTTGAACCCTCCATGGAAATAAACTGCATATCTGTAATAGGCAGTCTGGAAGCTTCTATTGGGGTCTGTGAACAGTTTCTTGTCAGTTTTCCCTAGCAGGGCAAATATTTGTACAATTTGATGGAACTTCGTTTAGCTTACAATTGTCTTGTTTTGGAAAATAACTTTTCTGCTGTCAATCTTGTATTAAAAAAAAATATTCCAATCACTTTGAGGCCACCAGAGGGGCTGCAGATAGTAGAGGAACTGAGCAGCTGTTTTGCTGAGGCAAGGGGGAAGTCGATTTAGGATAAATCTGTGTAAACTCTGCCTGTGGCTCCTGAAATTAAACACCCTCCAAGGATGTACTGCTTTCATTTGGTCCGTATTCTTTTCTATGAATTTAAGTAAACATTTGATTCGATGTTCTGCTCCAAAAACTCTGCTTTTAGTAATACAAATGTATGAAATGGGAATATTTTGGAGAGCAACCATCTGAAATCCCAAATGGGGTGTAGTCCTCCCATTTGCCTCCTGAAAACCCACACTTAGCTAGACTAGCCACTCCAATATTACCAAAGCTATACAAAGGGAATACATTACCACCTACTAAAGATGATTTTTCTCTATCCCTCTAAAATTCAAATTACATATTTCCCATTAGGAGAATAAAAAAGGGTACCAATATCATCGCATTGTTCATTTTGAGCTTTGTTGGGACCCCATAACAGACCAAACAACAGATGGTTCTAATATCAGTTTATATTACTCTGATATATCAATTAGCATGTTAGCAGAGTGTTTGGTATCTTGTCAGGCACACAAAAGCACTTGCACACACATAAATAACAACCAGATCCCCTGACTGCAGGCCAGACTTTCATACACCACAAACAAATCAAAAAAACAAAGTTGCAAGCAATATGTCTGATAACAGAGACAGCCAAAGGCTCCAAAGCCAGTATGATGGAGCTGCCAGGCAGACAGAAAGACAGCCAGATACACCTGCTAATGCAGCAGACCTGCCAAGCACACAAGCATGCAGATAGAGCCACCAGTGTGATGTTGTGGACTCTCCAAGAACAGACAGAGAGATAGATAGACCTGCCAACCAGGACTGTGTGTTTTCCAAACAAACAGGCAGACTAACACATTCAGTCAGCCTATTTAGAGTGAGATATTAGGCCATATGGACATCCATGTGAAGTGATTTGAGTCATTTAGACCAGAAAAACCACTAGGGCAAAGCATGAATGGTTATCACTATGGTAACCTGACAACATGTGGTTATTAGAAAATTACAAAAATGACTTGTAGGACTCTGGAGCAGGTAATGGTACACATCCATGCTTAGCAATGCCAGGTTGAGATATCTCATGGCGACATGATAAGTTGAGCCCCAAATCAGTCACTCAGGCAGAAGCTGTGACCAGTAGCACGTCGGGCAGCGTCCAATTGTGACGTCCACTTGGGAGACATCATCCCTGTAACGAGGGAGCTGCTGAAGCTGCTCCGACAGGAGTTCTTTCAGAGTGGGGAATCATGACGCACTCATGTGCTCTGGGGCCACAGGAAATACTGACAACATCTTCTGCTAAATGTGAGCCGGGAGGAGAGGAATTCAAAGGGACATATACTGATCCACTCCCAAAGGTGTGTTGTCATACAAACACTTTCTGAGTGCCAGTCTTTTCAATCCAGTGTGGATGAACAAGTAGCACACTGCATCACATAAGAAAGGTTCAAACTATTATATCACTGGTGATGACCATACGATACCAAAGACTCTTCCATTTCATAACAGTAAAGAGGGTTCCCGTTCGCCTGGTTTATGGTGTTAGCAGGCTGTGTTTTCTTCTTGTGTTTCATGGACAAACTTACTAGTTACATTTTTGGGGGGGGTTTTGTCCATTTCACAAGTTGCTCTTATCCAAGCCAATCACTGTATTTCCTTTCAATGTGTTTTAATCTAATTGAGTAAAGCTTGTACATGTCAAGGGGTGAGTTACAGGTAAAACATTAATTGAGCCATAAAGGTGTTTTTTGTTTAGTTTTTTTGAAAGGGAGGGTTGAGACAGCAGAAATGCCTAACTGACTTGCAAACCTGCTCTGAAGCAATCTCGACCACCAAAAGCGTTTTTTTCTTTCTTGATATAACCTCTAGTCTAGTCACTGTGTTTAGTCTCTCCAATCCCATCATTTATAATTCCAGCGCTCAGAGGAAGTCTACAATGTTGTACATTTTCCCACGTATTGCCCAATGACTTGCATACCACTGATGACAACACCATGTTGCGTACACTGTGAATAGATTATCCATTTAAAACTGATGATTTGGAGGCGGGGGTTACTTTATTAAGCAGTTTAGATCATTTGGGTGGTTATTAAGATGTTACATGTATACTTATGCAATAGGGGCTTTTTAGCACTTTATGCTGTGTACAGTTAGGCTTCTTCCACTTTTGAAGTAAATAAAAGCAACTTCTTTTTTATTTTTTTATTCATCATGGACACCAATAAACACATGTGTATTATGCAATGATTCACTTCATAATTTCCTGAGATTTTTATGGTATTTCTGCTTTGTTGGATGACTTATGGTGGAGGGCCACAGGCGAAAGGACGGTGATAGCAGCATGTGGTGGCTGGCTTTGACCCAATGGCATTGTGGTTAAATGGCATGTGCTCAGCCAACCGACCCAACTCCCAAGGTAATCTTATTTTGACTAGGGGTGATTTAAATAGATTGCCATACCGCCATCTGGTGTGCAAGTGAATTACTTGCATCAGTGCAGCAGTCAGCCATGTATGTACAGCTATTGACCTGTTAATAAACAGATTTAAAAAGAAAATCAGTTTAAGCCCATCAAACTACTCCTGTTCAGCATTAGTGATGTTACACATGTGGTACTCTTTAGTGGATTTAGACAGATTGTAACTAATCTAGAGTCAACCACATAGGAGAAAAATGATTGCCTATCATTCTACTCCTCATAAAGAATACATGTAATCTCTGCTGTTTTACAATGCATTACATCTCTAAGAAACACAGTAGCATGCATTGTATTGTATTGTGTTTTTGGATGAAGAAAAGCAACAGTATCATACAGTCTAAAAAAGGGGACGTAGACAGCAGTGTGTAGAAACAGGTATGTTTTTGCTGACACAAATAGAGACAATGCCCCTACCTTAAAGGCAATACCCTTTTTGTCCAAAAATGAATCTCTTCCCCTCCGGTCACATCCCAAACTGGCAGTGAAGGCGGAGGTGCTGCATCCATGCGTATGCACGTGTATGCCGGTGCAGGAGTGCCTGGAGTTGCAATGAGCGTTTCTGATCTGCAGCTTTAACAGCTCTGCGGTCTGTATGGCACTGTAGCAGGCTGGAAGTCTCTCCCTTACAGTGATGGCAAAAAGAGCTACAGTAGCTCGGCACCCTCAGAGAAAACAGTCCCCGAGTCCCACCCTGAATGTGTCAACGCTTCCTCTTGCGCCCTCTGCTCCTTGCTTCAGTCGGGCTTTAACATTCCGCTCACTTCTTTTTCACTGCTTCTCGCTTATGCTCAGACATGTGCACGCCCTGTCCAACTGACCCAAAACGTCACACGTGCAAAAAATAAAATACATGCAGGGAAGCTTTCCTTTGAATGGATTGTGGAAATCTGTTGAGCAGTGATGTGTAAATCAAAATGTATTTTCTCTGATAACATTTACTACTTAAGCAGATCATAGTTCAGCATCCACTTATCTCCTCTGCATCTTACAGAAGATAATGGTTTTCTGTTTTTACTGATGGAAGCAACAATGCATACCTCGCTCCATCCTACATTTATACACATATCGTATTATACCGTCTCATATTTTCACTATGTTTAAGGCATTCCTTGTTATTGATACCTATAACTTTCCTCTAGCATCAGTCAAATGTTTACTATCATGTTCCTGGAGAGACCTTCAGATACACCCATCTCTTTTCTCTCTTCACCTCTCCTACATCCCTGGTCAGAGGACTCAAATTGAATCAGTGTGGTGTTTGAGTGGGGTAGTATCAGCATCAAGCACTCAATGTACTCAGTGGATATGCGTGTAACACTGTGGCACAGGACAGTGAACAGGACAGAAAGAAAGAGACACCAAGTGTGCGTGAGTGAGGAGAGAAAGCACAACGTACGCTCTTGTCCCACTCTGTTACCTAGCAACACTTGCTGTTCTCATGCTTACTGTAGACTCATTACTCTCGTAGTGAATTGGTTTTCGAGCATGACATGGAGCCATGTGAAACCAGGGTTTGTGCATGGATGGAAACTGGATGAGGCAGAAATGACCCCTTCAAATATGCACATAACTGATGAATGTGTTATTTTACTAATAAAACAGGCTGCCACCTCTAACACAGCTAGGGTTCTTTATTGACTTGGTGAATATACTGATGTCACGTCAATTTGAGAAGTATGCTATTCTCTTTTGGCCATATGAAATAAATGCAAAGGGGGAAAAAATCCTGGGATTGTTTTTTGATAAATACTTTTTTATGGCACGTTTTACACAATCACATTTTCCAGCAACATTACAAAAATACAGTTTCAAAGAAAAAATGATAATTAGGAGTTGTATTTGCTATTGTACTGTTGTGTGTACATCTCTAATTAGAATGGTTGCAGTAAAGTATAGAAAGCATATGACAGTCGTTCCTTTTGGGCTGCAGACCTGAATCCTAAAATGCCATGCCAGTTGCCAACAAGACTACCAAAACATAATACAGAACGATTTAAAACACACAACAGGGGACAGGTGTGCATTTGTTAGGGTCGGATGAGGTGAAAGATGACTGAAAACGGATTTGTGGTCACACAAAAAAACCGGTCTACTATACAAATGTAAAGACGGGAGGAGATGGATTTAAGATTAAGTAACATTCAGTAATAACAATGATGATCATGTTTGAAAACATCATTTTCATGCATTTGTAATAGCATGATTTTAAAAAAAGCTCATTCCAGTTATAAGATATTCAAATCAGGCTTAGCTTTCATAACATTAAGTGGCAATGAAGTGGGAAGTAAAAAAATGTATGTCAAATGCAGAACTCCATAATTGTTTATTTGTATAAAAGCATTTATAATTGTAGATATCTTTCTCAATTGGGAAAATGTGTAATGCATGACTGAGCTATCCGTTTTCTATCTTTGCTTAAACCAATCTTAAGACCGTTTAAATAAAGGATTAAATAAATCATGTGTATCCACAATGACGCATTTTGATTATCTTTATGATTAGGGTGAGCAGATGTTCCTTTTTTCTAAAGACAGTCTATTAATGTGATACTTTATTCCAAGATCTTCTCCTCGGAAGTGGACCAATAACCGTGGTTTATGTTACATTAACAAGACTATTTTATCATGGAAAGAAAATAAACTCTTATAGACAAGATCATCATTAGAGGGCACATTTCCCCTCCTGAAGTTTTTCTGTGTCGTAGTAACACGGGCCTGCAGAGTGTGGTAGCACAGTACCTTGCACTTGGCCAGTAGGTGATGATTGTGTTTGTTTCTGGCACCGATGATAGCCAGCTGTCTCTGGATCCACTGCAACTCCATCTGAGACCGCCTCAGCCGCTCCTCCACGTTCGCACCGGACGTGTGATCCCGCATTATCACCTGCCAAACACACACAACCAGAGATGACACATCCTGAAGCCACACACACAAACCTCACATCTCCACACACACGAAAACCAAAACAGAACCATTTTACACACAGTCCATCTTAATTGCTTAATGAGTGTTTCAGATTCATACTTTTACTTTTGTAAAACAACTGGACTTCTGCACGTATTTGTTATACTTTTTCACTCATAGCTATACTTTTTTCCTTAAAATGTACTTCATTACAATAGCCAATTAAAGTATTTATTACTTGACATCAAAAACATTAGTTTTATCATGCATTTGACATTTTTCAATGGGATTTAGATTTTTTCCCCCACAATCTTCTGCCCTTTTATTTCGGTAGGCTACCATCAAAACAATATATAAACCCATCAAGCAAAAATGTACAAAATCGCCAGCATCTCAAACTAAATATAAGAAAGAAAATTATTTATAACAAAGGCAAAGTTTATCATTCACAGAATAATTCTAGAAACATTTTTTTTTTCTTTAATACTATTCCAAGCAGGAACTCTAGAAAAATTAAACAAATCGACTGGACAAACAAAACATTTATTTGAAAGAAAAAGAAAAGAGACATTGAATATTGACTTTTTTGGCACTTACTGTACAATTCCATCCACTTCTTTCATTAAATTACATGAACTATTTGTTAGTGTAAGTATACAACTAATTCCTGACAGCAATATTTTCCAATCCAACATTGCTGCCCCATGCATTAGTAGGTACTGCCTGGTGATTGATAAATACATGTCTGTGTCCATGAGTACGAGTGTTCAGTGAGAGAAAGAGAGCGCCTCTCAGTTACATGAGAGGATTACTGTATGACAGCAACACAATCACAGGGGGGAGCGTGGAAAAAGCATCAGATTTTATCAGTCACTGATAAATCCCCTTCTACGCATGTTGTCACATTTTCTACCTGCAGTCACCAGAAGGTTAATGCTGCTCGTACCTCAGGAGATTTGCCTTATCAGTCTGCTGCATCATAATAAAACACTCAAACCACTGATATCAGTCATCTGTGGTCCTCTTTCAGACTAGTGCACTGGAATAAAAAGGAACTTCAAAACAAGATCAGACAAAACACAACTTTGTACCTCGATACTATCAACAAAGTGTCAATAACTAATGCACCAAGAAATACAAGTTGTTTGTTTTCATACAGCAGCATACAAAAACAAATGCATCCATCTTCCCCTGTCTCTCTCAGAGCTCCAGCCAATTGCTCAAACAGCTTTCCGTGCTGACTCACCTTGGACAGCTTTTATTTCCTCGCAGGGGACAGGAGGAGGAGGACAGACACAACAAAAATCAACAACACAAAGCTCAGGAGTGCTGTAGATTTATGCAGAAATGTCCCATCCTGGCAAACCATCTATGAACCTGCAGTAGTAAGCATCTCTTGAACAGATTTATCAAGTTGAGAGGAGGGTGCAGTGCGTACGTCATTATTCGGCCTGATGGGGTTTTTCATTTGCCAGTTTCCTATTAATTATTCCTTCAGCCCATTACGATGATTGAGTTCCTGATATCTCTGTTGTTCTTAGTATGTCTTATATCTACATCTAAAGAAAGAAAGACTTTTGTAACATCATGTAGTTATATACCATATAGGCCATATAGAAATGTAGCTTAAAATATTGTTTGGGATCTGTGCTCCAAGTTGAATACACTTTGTCTGCAGTAGAGAAGTATCAGCAAATGGAGAATAACAGGAGTATACATCAGTTAAAAATGACAAAAGGTAAATCTAGGGATATGATGAGACTCCTGAAAATCAACCCTACATGTTTAGAACAAATATGTATACACATTGCATACGTTGGGATAGTTTTTGGTGAGTGCAGGACACGTCAATTATTGCAAATTACTTTAAAAGGTTGTTACCCATTCAAGTGACGCTCGTCGGTTTCTCTCATCCTCTTCACAGTGACCTTCTGTTCTGCTTTTTCAAACCAGTTTCCCGGTTTTGGAAGAGTTTAATGCCATTTATTCCTCTATAACAATACTCCTTCGAAGAAAATAAAAACATAGATAAAGACTCCAACACTTAAACGGAAACCTACAGGAGTGCAGCTCTCACTGCACTAAATTAACAATGAAAAGTGTTTCCTCCTTAGCATCCCAACGTAGGGTGCGTGCTTTGGACAGCCGTTCCCTGATATGAGTTGCTTTTTTCAAACAGTTATGATTCAGTTTCCTCTCACAATGTTCTTGTCCCAGAGGCTACCTACTGTGTGTCCATATGGCACACTTCACAAGAGGGTGGAACATGAACAGGAGGGAAAAGAGCAAATAAGGCTAACCTCTTACCTGTACGAACGACGAGGCCTTATGTTGCGGTGTGCTTAACGTTAGCATACACTTATCGATTAGCTAGGGAAATATTTGTCAAATTGAAAGCTACTAAACACACACGTTCACAACAATAAACATGTCCCAACCTGGGAACAATAAAGTATATCTTATCTTCGTGGTCAATCCGCACAGGTGCTCTCACTTTGCCTAATAAACACCACGTGCTGCCACTCCAAGCATGGCTCGCCTACCTATATCCTAAAGGCTAAGCAATCAACCTGGATAATTGAAAACACATTTGTAGTTGTGCAGGGCCTTTAAAGCTACATTTAGCCACTTTTCTTTAGATAAGGTTAGACAGGTGGGCAACAAATATTCATATTATGTATTGTTTCTGGCCACCTAATAGGCTATGTAGAAATCCGATATTAGGCTGAATTGCTTACTGGTGTTATAGCAAAGAAAAATGGACATCAGCAGTGAAAGTACCATAAAAAGTATCTTGAACAGGTTACCAAGCACCAAAGAGCTGCACAGTAGGATGGTTAGAATCAAGTCAATTATATCTATAAAGCAGAATACCC